AAAAAAAAAAAAAGAAGACGTACAATTAATTTTAACACTATATTCTAATTGACTCGGTAAGTCCAAAATGTTGTCATCTTCACATGCGACTGATACAACAAAAGGATTGGCAAGAGATACTCACTCTCCACTGTCTTTGACCGTACACGTACGACAGGTTGAGGTGCGGACGGGCTGTGTCTGAGGCCCTCAGGGGCCACGTGTGGTGGCCGCAGTGGGCTCTAGAATGCTAGGGTGGGTTGGTTGTGTTCCTAGCCGCACCCCCTGCAGCAGCCGGGCATGGCCGGTGGCCCAGGAAGCACTTCTAAGTGACCTGGCCAAGGCTGACACGGGGTCGGAGGGGCCAGAGGGGGACGGATGGGGTATGAGCGGGCTGGGGCTTCTCTGCACCTGATATACCCCATCCCTCTGCAGTCTCTCTCCAGAACCCACCCCCATGGATACCCACCGTGGCCCCCGCCAGCCTACCCTCTGCTCATGCTGTGCCCTCTGCCCTCCAGCCCGCTCCCAGACTCACCGGAAGGCATAGGAGGAGACGATGAGGACCAGGGTGACCACGTGGTGGATGAGCATGACCACCGAGTCCTTGCGCCAGGCGTCCATGTACAGCGTGGCATAGATGGAGTGGCCATAAAAGCTTCCTTGCAGCAGGTAGGCGGCTGCGATGTCCCGGGGCACCACCATGCCCGGCGTCCAGTCTGGGGAGAGCAGGCCCGTGTGGTCAGGGGCCTCCAGGACCCCTCCAGCTGGGGTGCGGCCTCCACAAGCCAAGGCGTGCCACCCCCTTCTGCAGGCGCACTGGTCCCTGGTAGTCTGTTCCCACTCTCTACCCGTTACTTTTTACGAACGGGTGTTCTTTTTTTGGAGTGGTTCTAGATTTATAGAAAAAGATGCTCCCACCCCTGAAATCTGTCCCTTGCAGGATTTCCAACTCTGGTTTGGTTTCCCCTTCCTGTCTTCTCTTACTTATCAGGCTCTCTGGAGGCAGCTTCGATGCCCCTGTCCCAGGTTCTCCCATCCCGGCAAATCCCCCTGCGGGATGGAGGCTGCCACCCGCCTCACCATGCCAGGCAGGACTGCCGAGGCAGGAAGCTGACAGGCCAATCCTGTTGCAGATGGGCTGTCCCACCCAGTGGGGTGTGGCTCCCCTCCACTTGCTCCTGCAGCCACCCCATTCCTGCTGGCACCTGTGCCCACCCACACTCAGGCTTCACCCCCTCCCGGTGACACTGACCCCTGGCTCTCCCCATTTCCTCTCTCAGGACCATCACCAAGAGGGCTCGGCCTGCATCGACCTGGACTTCCCTGGCCACTCCTTCTCTGCTCACACCCCCAAAACGACCACCCTGGGCTCCCCCCGAGGGCTCCTGCCTCCACCCTCAGAGACCTGGAGCCAGACCCTCATGCCGCCTGGAGCCTGGCTGTCCCCTAACCCCCACGCCCAGTGCCTCGCCTCGGCGACCCTTCTTCATCTGCGCCTTGACTCCTTACGCAACAGGGACCCACCCACGTGGACCCCCATCTGGGGTCCCCTCTCTGTCCAGGCCTCTGCTCACTTCCCCTGCCCTCGCCACTCTGACCCTGCTCCGGGCACCACTGTCTCCCGCTCAGCTCGGCCCCAGCTCCTCCTGGCTTTCCAGAGCCTGTCCCCAACGGTCCACCCTCCCTGCGGTGGTTGCAGCAGCTGTGAACACACGAGCCCCATGTGCTCCAGCAAGTCCACTCCTAGTCAGGTGCTCAAGGGAGCTCAGGCCAGGGCTCCTCGCACACGCAAGTGCACAGGAGCGCCGCCGGCCGCCACCAGACGGTGGAAGCAACCCAAGTGCCCACCAACGCGCGAGTGGGTGAGCAAAACGTGCGCCCTGCACACGACGGACTACCACCCAGCCGTACAAAGCGGCGAGGCACCAGCTCTCCCATGGGGTCCATGAACCTCAAAAACACGGCGCTGAGTGAAAGAAGCCAGACACAAAAGGTCAGAGAGAGCATAATCCCTTTCCACGTCCAGGAAAGGTCCAGAACACGCAAATCCGTAGAGACAGAAAGCAGATCCGTGGTTGGGGCGGGGGTTGGGGGGGGGAGTGCCTGCCCGCGGGGACGGGGTCTCCTTTGGGGGGGGCAGGGATGGAGGCACAACACGGTGAATGTGCCACGGAACTGCCCACCTGAACATGGTGAATATTTTAAAACTATGGTAAGACACGTACCACGTGAACGCTGACACCTCAGCCATTTTTCCGTTCTGTGGCCCCACTGTGTTCGCACCGCGGCGTGGCCATCTCCAGAACGTTCCTCGTGGCGCCCACCCGAACCTCTGTGCCCCTTAAGCCCCGGCTCCCCGTGCCCTCCCCGAGTCCTGGCTTCCATCTCCACGCACCTGGCTACTCCAGGGACCTCACGCCAGCGGACAGTACCAGCCACTGGCAAATTATGGTTGACTTTACGTCATGTATATTTTACCTAATTAAAAAAAAAAATGCAAACCCCCCCACAATGGATTAGATCTCCTCCCACCACTTTATCAGGTCCAGGGGCTCCTCAGAGTCTGACAGCAAAATGCACACTTCTGGCAGGAGCCCCCCTCCCCGAGCTCTGTGGGAATGTTGCAGCCAGTGGAGGCCCCCCCAACACCTGCTGGGCGCCTCTGCCCGCCTTGAGAGGGAAGGGATGTAGAGGTGCCTCGGTGCACAGAGCCAGCCCGCTGTGGAAACAGGACACAGAATTTTCCACCAATCGCACTGGCAAGACTTTTACCGTTGGGCGAGCGTCCCCCTCCACCCTCGAGCCCCGGATCTGGGGCCGGGTAGGGAGAGTGCGACACACATGGGATCCCCCATCCAGACTCCGTCTGCACCTCCCCGCACTCGGGGGGCCATGGAGCCCCAGCCTGCTCTCCGCATTCACATCCAACCTGCTGCTCTGGACGCTTCGTGTCACCCCCACCACATCCCCCACCCCGGCCTCTGGGATCAGCGCCGCGGTGTCCTAAACCCAGCTCCTTGCTCTCCCTGAAACCTGCCCCCTACCTCGGATCCCAGCCCCTGGTGTCATCCCCACCCTCCCTGCTCACCCCTCCCTCTGGCCTGGCAGTGGATCCTATCAGTTCTGCCCTCAAAACATTTCTCAAGACGGCCATTTCTCTCCCATTCTGGGCCCCATCCTGGGCAGAGCCCCCTCGTGTCCTGGCTCCTACCTTTAGCCCCCTTCTCAGTTGGGCCTGTCAGTATCCCCTGCTGCTCACAGCCCTCCGGTAGCTACCCCCTGTCCTGGGGGGGCTGCTCTCTGCCTCTGAGCATCTGCCAGGAGTGTGCCTGTCCCACGGTGGCCCTTGCATTTCCTATCTGCTCCAGGCACCTCCAGGTCCCCATGCAAAGGTCACTTTTGGTGGGGCCATCCCCATCTCTGTAGAACATTCCCCGCCCCCACGCCCTGGAGTTTTCTCATCAGCTGTTAACAGATTTCGTACTTAACTATCACCACAAGACATCAAGGCGGGGGGCTTTCTCTGGAGCACTCACAGCCCTGTCAGCACAGTGCCTGGTACACAGTAGGTGCCCAATAAGTGCACATGCAAAGCAGCAGCTCACCTGCAAGCATGTTATCACAGCATAATTTAAAAGAAAAAGCCAGAGGCAACTCCATGCCTGAAACTGACAGGGATCTATGGTGGTTCAGTCACACAAAGGGAAATTGAATGACAGCTAAAACCTGCCCTCCAGGGGTTTATAACAAGGGCAATGCACGTGGGGAGAGTGGCCATGTGGGCGACGCAGTCCCACCAAGACAGACAGGTGCCCAGCAAACGCGGTGCTCGTCACCGGGAAACTGAAACACAGAAGCTCTGTGCCCAGCCCTTGGATCGGAGCGCGGGGCTTGGTGCCACCAGGAGGCTTCAGAAACTGTTTACGTCCTGTGGCAGGAAACACTTCCATGTGTGTCCCTGGTGCACAGCCTGAGTGGTCAGCACAGGAATAGAGAAATCCCAACACCCTCATCACAGATTGGGTTTTCTAGAACAGCCTGCCTGCAGGCGATAAAGGACACTACAGTCACCTTCCTGCCTACCCCACTAAGCTCAGGCCTTGACGACCCCCACATCTAATCCAATCAATAGATGCAGCCGTTTCTCACCATCCTTATCTCTTCGCCAAGCTGGTCCAAGCCACATTAGTCCCTCACCTCCCCACTGGGCCCTTTCTTCCTTATCCGAGACTCTCCTGCCTCCACATGGCAGCCAGAAGAAGCAGCTTTTTATGATCCACAAACCCATCCCATTTAGAATGAAACTCAAACTCCTCCTACCCTCCTCTTGTCCTCACACACCAAGCTCAGGCAGGCCCCAGGGCCTTTGCACATGCTGTTCCAGACACCAGGAATGTCCACCTGGGTCCACACAAGGGGTCACCTCATTCAGGACACCTCCCTGAGCCCTAATAGCACCAGGTCCTAAACAGGACCCTTTCCTGTCCCCAGAGCCCTTTAGGCACCCTTGTCTTGGGGCTACCTTGGGACGGCCCTATCTTGGAGCTGACATCCAGCATGAGATGTATGATGAGTGTCCAGCTCCCCCATGTCGAGCAAAACCCTCCCCCACCCTGCTCTGTCCAGCAGGGCCCATACCGTAGAAGACAGAGGGTGGGTCGTGAAAGAAGGGGTAGTCGGTGCCGAAGAGCAGGTAGGCGCTGTAGCTCCAGGCGCCCAGATAGAAGAGAAACTTCCAGGCGCTCTCAGGCATCTTGGCGGCATCTCTAGGCTGGAGGCGACACTGCTTGGCCAGGGGCTATATGGGTGAGAAGGCGGTGGCCATCAGTGCTGGGAGCCAAGGGCCAGGGACCACTTCTCCAGGGTGGGGAAAGCCAGGCTCAGGGGCTCTCCAGGCTGGGCAGTGTTGGGGAGGGCCGGGCCCCGGTACCCACTGCCGCCTGGAGTGTAACCAGAGCCCATGTGTGCCAGCCAAGGGCTAAACTTAGTGCCCAGCTGTCCGGCGCAGTGTGGGGAGGGGAGTGGGGGGAGGCCTGAGAGAAACGTAAGGGAAGGCCATGGCGGAGAGGAAGGGGACATGTGAGTACAGTGCAAGGGAGACCAATGGGGCCAGCCCAGGGGAGCTGGGGGACTTGGGGTTCCCAGAGGGAGCTGGGGCTATACCAGGGAGGAGGGGAGATTAAAGATAAGATATGGAGGGGCCTGTAGGGGCAAAGCTGTGAAGAGAGCATGGAGGTGAGTATGGGGGCATCTGGGAGAACATGGTGAGGCTGGAGCCCCAAGTGATCCCCACGGGGGAGAAACCTGAGGGGAAGGTGTACCTCAGAGAATTTGGGGGTAGGCTAGAGAGAAAAAGAGGTTGGGGAAGATGGGGTGGGTACGTGAGGGACAGCATGAGAATGTAGGGGGACAGAGGAGAGAATGGGGCAGAGAAAGAGGGGGCAGGGCAGGGGAAGGATGTACAATGAGATTGGGGACATGAACTGAGCCACCTAAGGACACACCAGGGAGGACTGGAAGAAAGAGAGGTCACATAACCGTGAAGTATGGAGGAATTTGAGGGGTGTAGCTCCCCCGGAGTCCAGGAGCCCCAGCCTCCAGCTCCCTGGGGGCGGGGCTCCAGAGCTGCTGGGTCAAGCCCGCCCCCTTCCCCGCGAGGAGAGGCTTGTGGGGGCCGGAGCACCAGCAGTTGCCATGGAGACAGCCAGAGCCAGTTCCAGTCACCCCTGGCAACCAGGCGGCTGCCAAGAAGATGAGCTTTGGAGGAAACGGCAGCCCCTCCACCCGTTTCTTGGGAAGGGCGAGCCTCGAATTGCTCTTGCCCCACCCGGACGGGCCGCACTGGCCAGAGCTCCCGGGATTCCAAAAGGGAGGGTGCTCATGCTCTTGCTGTCCCCCACCAGGCTCCCTCACTGCCAAGCCTCCTCCTCAGGGAGGGCGCCCGCTCCACTCTGGTTGTCCCAGAGCGACCACATCCCCCTCCTGGGCTCTGACCCTCAACCTCCTGGACCTCCCACTTCCCAGCTGGAAACTGGGAAAGCAGAGGGACCAACAAAGCCAGATGGGGACCAAGGCTGACCCGTGGAGGGGCCCTGATGCCTGCCTCCCCCCTGCCTGGAGAAGGGTGGTGGCGGGGGGGCTCTTCCCCAAGTGGGTGATAGGGGATGGTGGTGGGGACAGTAGTCTCCAAACAACACCCTATCCTTGACTTAACAAGGGCCAGCCTCTTCCCAGCCAGCAGAGAAAGGCCCCTTTGTTGGCGCCGGGCTCTCTGTCCCTGCAGCCCCTGCCACCTCCAGCCAGACTGGGGCGGGGTGAACCCAGTCAGTCCATGGGGGAGTCGCAGCCAAGCTAGGGACCCGAATGCCTTCCCACCAGTTCCCATAGCAGCGACCCCTCCCTAAGGATGAGAGGGAGGCCAGGCGCCAATGTCACCCACAGGGTCACTCTCCACCTGGGGCGGTAGCCTCCCCAGACTCGCTAGAAACCGGGTAATTCGGACGCAGCCCCTTGGAGGCAGCCCAGTCCAGCTCTGAAGACCCAGGCCGTGCCACCTCTCAAAACTGCGACCACCGGCGTGGCCGGGGAGTCCAGGCCTTTGCTTCCCCAGGTCGGAGGGTGGCGCTGATTCCAGACATGCGCGAGGTAGAGACCGGGTAGCTCCTGCCTCCTTCCCGAGAGCAGCGGACAAGTCCGCTCCGCCGCCGCGTGGACCTCGGGCCCCGCTCCGGTTCCGGGAGCGCCCCGCACGGCCCCGAGGCTCAAGGCGCAGGCGGCTTCTGTGTCCCGAGCCCACCCCGCCCGCATCCTCCGCTCCTCCGTCCCCGATTCGGCCCTGCCCGAAAGGGCGCGAGGCGGCCCGGGCCCTCCCACCGGCCGGGGCCCCCTCGTCCCGCACCCACCGGCATAAGTCGGCCCCGGTTCCCCCCGCATCTCGAACACCCCGTGTTCGTGTGGGGGTCCCCACATCCCGGGCTTGCTCCGGCTCGGCCACACCCCCGCATCCGCCCCACCCCCACCCCTCTCAGCCCGAAAGGGACGAGCTCCTCCAGCCCGAGGCCCCCCACGTTCCAGTCACCCGGCCCGTAGAGGAAAAAGGGGTACGCGAGGGCCCG